ACCAAACGAAACGAAAGTTTTTCTCGTGCTTATGCTTGGCGTAGGGTTTCTTTGTAGGTGGCAGTGGTATAGGAAATTTAAATGTAAATTTTAAACAGAACAAATTCACATCTCTCTGAGTTTCGTCCCGTATTTGATCTCTTTGTTCATGTGTCCGACTCACACAAGAAAATTACTACTCCTATCCCTTTGCCCATGCACGTAACCACTCCTTTCACGTCTCTTTGTTGTACGAGCAAAGCACACCTTTGTAAATTTAATAGAATATATATTTGTAATAAAAGCTTTCACAATTGTCGTGCTACAACATACTTTAAACGTTCTTAAATTTTTGTCACTAAACTTTAAATTTAAAAATTTTGGTATTTGGTCAATGCTAGAGATACTCCTCCAATTTAAATGTAATCTCGAATAATCAACTACAAAAATAATAAACAAGTATCAATTCCAAAATTGTTTCTACTTAATAATAAAATCTTTAAATAAAAATCAGTCGTCATATCCCTTGTAGATCTTTCAAATACGAAGTGATAAAACCTGAGAATTGGGAGTAACTCGGATATAGGGGGGCCATAAAATCGGCAATTTGATTCGGGCAGCTGCAGATTCTCGCGAATTCGTTTTATGGAGCTTTTATTACGTCATCCGTTGTTTACAAAATCACTGCTGTACCATGACACGAAACCTAAATTATCGTAAAAATCGAACAGGATCGAATAAAACCCGTCTTATTTATAAAATCATTCAATAACCCCGAAAATAAATAATACGTCATAATTAATAATTTAAAGAATTCATTAACAATCAAGATATGTGTTTAATATTTGTGTCAAATAGGTACCCAATCAATTGGGTGTAGTCGACCCTTAATTAGTTCTGACACAATTTCGGAGCCAACATGTGAGGTAATCAGGTACGCAAGGCGTATGATTAACCCCGTACCTAATCATCCGTTTGCGGTTCCTAGCTCGACTTCGTACTTTGATTAGAGCATATTCCAAACCTCATCACAAACAGATCAGAACAAATTAATTAAATGAGACTAGTGGTCCTTTGTTCGAGCGAAATTGTGTACAATCAATCATTGATACCTCCTATAATGCCACCGGTTGTTTCCCCAATCCATCGTAAGCATGTAGGGAAGAGGGATTTGGGTTAGGAATTAGGTCGGCAATTAAATAAAGTTTTGCTAGAACCCTTGTTACATATACGATACAGTTTATTCGATCAATTAAAGTAGGAAGGAATAAATTTTATTTGAAGTAAACCTACGATTCGTCATAGTTTGACACTAGCAGAATCTTCTAGTTAATCGCCCTCTTTCTGCTACACCTTTCAATTCATAAAGGCGATAATACCGATCTATCCTACCTTGAAAGATATAAAGGTTATTGATGGTGACACCGTTCACCGACGGAAACCACGTGGGACCTTCAGGGGACACCCGAGCAAGCACATTCATCTTGCGTGGGGAATGTAAAAGGGGGGCCTACGGCGGAAATGGGGATACACGATGGGAAATTTCGGGAATACCTCTGCCAAAGGTCTTGACCCTACGTTTGTGTTTCTATCGATTCCCTGGGAGCGCTTTTACCTGCCACATCGAAAACCACCTTTTGTGTGAAATTTTGATTTAATATCAAATAATTATTTTTAATAATTGAAATAATAATATGTACTTACAAAGCCGTACTAAGAGGAACGTAAGGTGTGTCTTGTAAATCTTGTTAGACATGTAGTTTCCAAGTTATTCGAGTAGTGTTTCGAGTCACAATAGCACGAAACTCGTTTCTAATGAGTACCTTAACACAATTTGGTCGTACAGCCGCGACATGGGCGTCGAATCCGGAAGCAGTTTCGATAGGTCACGTCTTTACTTTCCGCCCCCTCGAAAAGCAAAAACAACAAAATTAGAAACAATCAAAATCCAATTTTACGATAGAATTAACCACCCCACGGCGGAAGTCCCCATCCTACGATATGACGGGTGTGAACCGCGGGCGCTAGATGGCACAAACTTCCTGCTCCCAAATTGAATTACAGTCCCGAAGTGGCGAAGTTTGTGTTGGCGTCTTCGTCTACCGCGAGTTTTAGTGCACTTAGTACGGGAACGCGCTAGGCTTCTCACTGTTATTTCAGTGCATCAGAACCTGCGAGTGTCTATCTTTTTGGAAGACGTATCTGAAGGCTTCGGCTAAGCGCAGCCATCCCCTCAGAAATAACTTACTTACACGAATGAGCACGCGTTACCCTCGACTGGCCTATTTCCTGGTGTAATGTCCCAGCTAAAAGCCCGAATAACTTTGCGCCACAAATGTAACTAAACTTAAATTACATTCGAATAGGTATTTTTTAGTAATCACAAATAGTCTGCGTGAGAAGAATTACAGTGGTACAAATTCTTTATTCAAATTCGTCTTTTTATTTTGCATAATTTAACAAGCTGTAAAGGTAAGATATATTTCCAGAGATTGGCGAATAAATTATATTCCCACTCGTGCTACTTTTTTATAATTGGATACGCTATAAAATACCGTCAGAGTTGAGTATCACGATATCGCTGAAAAGTATTTTCAGGCTATAAGCTTTAGCAATCTAGCTGCGGAAACACACAGGAATTGGAACTATGTCCTTTAATTGAGATCGTTTGATAAGCAGCAATCGATATGAAACCACTAAAATAAAATGAAATTACTTGCGTTAATTACTTTAAGTTCAGAGTTAGCGTTTTCCTGATTGACTCTGAAGGCTTCAATCATTCTATCCTGAGCTACATCTACGATTACACTGGAACAAACTTGAATTTTTTCCAAGGACTTTTTAATTATATCTGTGATCCTGACCAAAAAGATTGACCTGTAAACTGAAACTTTATGTTATGTTTTTCCAGGGTTAAGGATATGCTATTTTCCACAGCTGGGATAAATATTTTAATCTAGAAGTTAATCTTAAATGCTAATAAAAACAAAGTTATAATTTATTCGAACTAAATAATAGTAGAATGTAATTATTGAGAAAAGCCATTAAAAGGATAGATCCAATCTAGCTTTTAAAAACTTGGTATTAGTAGAGTAGAACAAACATCATTTGAGAACGGCGGGGGGTGATTAATGATCCCGACTGCAACATCTGCATTCTTTGCCTACGGTCGTCTCGAAAGTAAACTTCCGGATATAGAAGATTAATTTTCTTCGGCAATTCGCTTAATTACAGTCGGGATGAAATTTCAGTCCGCTGCATAAACGGAACGATTAAACGGGCGAGGGAATTCTGTTTTAGCGTACAGATAGTGTGTCCGGTGGGATAAAGGGCTCTTCATGACTTCGTGACCTTTGAAGTACTTACAGCTGTACGGCATTAGTACTTGACGGACCCCATTCGTATCCTGCGCCGTCCGTTCCGGGTACAAAGGCAATTTTTCACAGAGATAGCCTTTGGCTGCCACTTCTTTGCCCTTACTTCTTTACTGTGTACTGTGCAAACAATAGCTAAAAGCGGAGTTATTTTTTAACGTACTTGAATCGATTTCTACAATTTTAACGAAAAATTAAAATTAAAAACTATTTAATTTAACGTGGGGATTTGTAAATATCAATTGTCTGAAAAAGAATTAATATTTTGTATAACAATCGATATGTTTGCGTAGAACATCAAAGCAACGTAAAAATTGACTATTGTTCTGTGATATGCATAAAATAACAAAGCTATCCTAAACAAATAACTACACAGAACGTTTCAAATTGACAATAGTCGAAAACAATGACCATTGAATGATGTATTATATGAAACTATATTTTAATGTTAAAGCTAGGAAGTAGATTTTAATTTTAAATAATCGTTCTGAAGTGAATAATAAAAAGAAGTAAGTAAAAATACTTTTCATTTATCCGCAAATATTCCGCTTACATTGAATGCACATCATTAGTGGTTCGGGAAGGATTCAGCATCGACAATTTTAACGCTACATTTTAACAGAAATCTAACCGTTATCATGGCGAAATAACGACCTCGTCCCTCTCGAATAAATTCCAGTGCGCCCCGGCTAGATTTATCGGTAGGGATGCAAAAAAAAAGCCGCGATCCGCGCTTCATTTGGCGTCATTAACGACGGCGGCGTCGGCTCACGACGCTCTAAATATCGCGTACATCAGCGTCCGCTGCCAACCCCGATACGTAACGGAATTTATCATACGTAAAGAGATATAAAAACGATTTACAGTGTTGCCACGCCCGTTTTTCGAACGCTGCCGCCATGCATTAATGCACTTGAGCCAATGTTTTAAAAGCACTTGGCCAAAAGCTATTACTCAACGTGAAGTAAAGCTAAAACCTACCCAGATGCATTTTCATATTTCATTTCATAGATATTTTTATGTATAAACATTATTAGTTTACCTGATGGATTAAAAAAATTATAAAATCCGTTTTAATTAACGTAAAAGTATTTATTTATTTAAAGAATGTAATACCCAGATTTGTGGTATTATTATTATTATTATTATGGCTATCAGTAGACGTAATAGGATTAATGGTATTAGACCCCTTATATACCTCAAACTGCCATAAATTAGGGCGCACACATCAACGTCGAGCACAATTCGGCAGTAACAATATAGGGACCAAAATTTATCGTACGCAAAGAGAAATAAAAACGATTTACAGCGTTGCCGCAGCAGTTTAAGCGACGCTTTATTAGCCGACTCGCTATATTTTAAATGTACTTGATAAATAGGTATCAATTAATTAATTTAAGCCGGAATTAAATTACGTCGACGTATATTTGTAGAGGGCATCAGCCCTCCAACTATTATGAGGGGAACGCGGTTTGAAACATTAGTGTACCGAACGTACATCACTGAACCGTCCACTAGACGGCGCTAATGAACCTGCGAATTTATTATTCCATCCTATGAATTATTTGAAATTATTAATTTAGATTCGCGATTAATTTAGTATAGATTATTATTACCGTTGAGCCTAATTTAATGGGTTTGTTACAGAGTTGCTGTTCTTGGTTATCCAATAGGTAAGTAATTCAAATTGATATAACTCAAACGCACTTTACCGTCCTTCCTGAATAATTTACAAAAAGACTTTTGCCGTAATTGAGATTTGAGAGCTCTCAAATTTTTGCATAAGCAAATTTGTACTTTGCCCAACGAAGTATAACGGTCTTCAAGTATAACTTTCGAGGGTTAAACATCCCTTAAAGATCCCCAATTAAGAACCTTTTACATTTTTCAAAAGTTACTTTCCTAATTACGTGCGAATCCTATCTTTTAACTCACTTAATAAACTAATTTCTCAACCTTAAAAATACACATCAATAGTAGATACTTTTCATATAAATTAATTTATTGATTTAAATTCAATTTAACCAATTTTATTTAATTTACCACGAATACATTATAGCAAAAGTAAATTGAGAGATCGAAAGTTGAAGTGGATGGTAAATAGTACTGCTCTGAATTAATATTGAATATGTGTATGTTTATTATTTATTTAAACAAACTAAATTTTATAAATGAAATGTTCTGAAAGCACTTGATTTTATGCTATTCAAGGTTTTTGTATCATGACGGTTCTTCATGAAAATTTAAAACCGTCAAGATAGAATTAAGTTGTTCAGAAATACCTCAACCAGACCAAAATTTTCTTCAATAATCTTTTAATATAGAAAAAATCTCTTTTAAGTTACTATTAAGATTTACCTTAATAACTAAGACCTATGGGATGTTTTAAGTATTGCCCTATGGGATCTAGAAGACTAACCGTTATCTTACTGTAATAAAATAGCGCTGACGTAACGAAACCGCACAATAATTCAATTTACCCGGTTATAAATCCCACGGGCACGTACGGCTTTGCTGCGGTCTAATTCGTTGGAAGAGTGGAACGAAGGAAAGAGGTAGAAAAGAAGAGTAAGGGGTAGTAAAAAGGCGATGGAGGCAACGCCCGCGGTTACGTCGCAGGACGTGCCCGGAAGAGGACCGCTCGAGATCTTGTTGCAATTTATTTCTTACTTGGCACCACTAGACCGTATAAATTACTTTTTAAGGCGCGCAAGTTATGATAAACTATCGCGAGGCGGCCCCCTAGATAAAGTCGACGGAGAGTGGCCTAAAGTACTCTGGCGGTCTGCGCTGTATCAGTGAAAATTAACTTCTTGCATTAGAGAATTTAAGGGCCGTCCTCCCTTTCAACTTATAAGGCACGTGCCAGTTTTCAAGAATGTTAAGATAATACCCATAATACTTGTTTTAACAGAATTTGTATCGATCAAACATTGAAAAATTCAAAAATCATACCAGTTTTGCTTTTGCAATTCCCTGGTTGGTAAAGCTTCCATTTTTCATTCGGTCGTTTCCGGTTTTACTTAGTGTCTTTTGTGTCCGCGGAGAGGCGCTTCTCCCGTGAATTTTTAATGCCGCCACTTTATGACAGAGCCGGGCTCAGGCAACAATGATTTACTGTATCTGGGCGAGCCGCTACGCCGCGCGTTTGTCTAAGTAGGAGGCGTTTTAAAAAATTTATGTTCCCGAATTCTCGACGCCGTTCTGCTGCTACTTCCGTTAGAAGAGGTCGCTTGTTGAATTGTGAGCCTGAACTTTGATGAAAATTTATTTTCACGTTAAGGTGTTTACAAATTTACGTTTTTATTTTGATTTTAATCAAAATTGTTAAACCATTAAGAAGGTAAGAAGAAAAATTGACGTCGTTAAAACGTTTCCTAAATTACCCGGTCTCTTCTCGTATATTTAGTAATTAAATAAACGACCGGAAGCATTTTGGGTGGGTTGGAAACGGAAATGGTCGGCCCGAATCCCGCAGAATAATCGAGTTAGTCTTTTACATATTCGCGTAATTAGTCCGGTACCGGCAAAAAATTAGCGTGCCGAGAAAAAAATCTGAATGCCAGACCTGCACATTTGAGCTGATTGTATCAATTTTCGGAGGCGTCCGCGTTCAACGAAAATTTACATTTTTGCTTTTACTCCGTTTAACAATTTGCGGTGCCAGCTTTTTACTTAAATGTCTCGTGTTGTTTGACACAATCATTTTATTGAGCTGTTAAAATCCATAACATTAGTTTTCCATTTTCCTCTAAGTAAATGCACTTTTAATGTTCCATTCTATAGAAAAGTATTGGATTAAACGCAAGTTTTGTCAGCACGTTTAACTTTGATAATAATCGGCAATAATTGTTTTTTTTTTTAATGGAAAAGTCCTAATTCCTCCGGGTCCCAATTTTCGAAGGGGATAATGTCTGGCGATTCGACGCCTTTATCGGCACTTATAAATCGAGATTTTCCAATTTCCAAATGCAATTTTCGGTCCGGGGTCCGGACACAATCGGGTTTTCACCGCGACATACGGCCCTTACGATATCAGGCTGAAGCCGCCCAACTTGACTCTCTGGAATTTATTTTTGCGCAAAGTTACGCCCTGTAGTTTCGAGAGGCAGGGGCGAAGAGGTGGGGTTTTAGTGAAGTTGAGTTATGGTCCGGGATTCCGATGCCCTGGAGACGCATTCCTAAGTTACACGTCTTCGGAAGTTGTTTTGTTGCCCCCTTGCGATGTGGGGATAGAGTTAATGCAGTTTAATATAATATAGGAATTTCAGTTTAATGCGATTATATTAAATTTTAATTATTAGGGTACATAACTTTATCAATTTGGGTTTTGATAAAATATTTATAAGCAAAACAGGAATCAGTCGATCTATTCTGGTATAATTTGATTAATTACACCAATAAACCCACATTGTAAACGTGTAGGAATCATGGGTTATGGTGTTAGAGAGTGAAAGTGCTATAAATTTAATTATCGACTCCCTAATCCTCGCCATAAATTATAATTGATCGTTCGCTATAGGATATGAACACAACACACGAATTTGATTTACAAAATCTTTAACAGTAAACATTTAACTAAACTGTAGTTCTTAATCTACTATAATCCAAACTATTGTTATTAATTCTATTAAAGTACTTTGGGCTCACAAAAGCAGATGTGTGTGCTGAACACGAAATTAATTCCGGTTGATGAAAGCGTTAACTCGCCTGTCGTAACTGCAAATATGGAAACCCCTGGAGTGTCGCGTTAAAATTCCAGTGAAAAGCGTTTCGAAAAGCTCTACTACACGACATGAGCAAAACAGACAAGTTTCGCCCCGTGCCCTGCCTTTTACAAAAATAAACGTTGCCGCTTTTTGCAATCCCCCGCAACTTAATGGAAAAAATAAATCATAATGTCCAACAGCGCTGCCGCTAAAATTAAATTTTGGATAAATTTCCTAGAACGTTTATCTCATGTGTATCGTTATTATATGCATTATCGTGTGCGGGTATTGGGGCGAAACTAACGATAAATTGTCGATGGAAAATAGACACCTCATTATTTTGTTTTAGTAATAACGCGATTATCGTATGATAACGTAAAAATATTCAAATCGCGAAATTCTATAACAAGCGTTTCCCATTCAAATTGATTTCAATTTCATATATCTCCGAATGTAGAATACGAGCTATTGAATTAAAGAATTCATCGTACCACCTCGAGTGTTATGGACAATTTCAAACTTGGCTCTTGTTCGTTAGATAAATGGTAGTAGTGTTTTCTCCGCACTGGCATAGAGCCAACGCGCAAGTTCAAACTCGCTTTGTAATCCAAAGCTGAGATACCTAAAAGTATAGCACCAATTTACACCAAAAATCGATTACACGGAGATTATGGGGAAACAATAATTGGGTATTATCCGAAGACGATATAATAACAATTCTCATTGATATTATTAAATTCAGTACCTAAAGATTGAAATCTCGAGAGTTTACGTCTCGAATTTAATCAAACTGTGTGGAAATTTCACCTAGCTTAAATGGCATGGATACCGCTTCAAATAGCTTTGATCGTTTCCTTTTGCAGTAACGTTCTCTCTGTTCTTATACCTGAGAAATTTTGTCTGCATAGAAATTGCCTATTCACCCGCATAAAATACACCAAGCAGAAATTATATGGGCAGCATTGTTTTGACTTTAGAAGCTCCAAGGAGGAACTGCTAGGAAACGGGACGCGGACCGGAAGTGAATTGTGACGGAAGCGGATATCCTACTGCGGAATGCTTAATGAACCACTCGAATTCACTGAATCAACTACAAAACTTATCGTATTGTCGCTCCAAGGACATATTTAGTATGTAAATGAAATTTATTATAATTTTTGAAACCTTTTAAACCTAATTTATTTAATGATTTAAGAAACAATGTCTACATTAAATTAAAAAGAATGTTTTAAAGTTTAATTTGCATCATAAGTCATTTCTTAATTCGATCTCCACGATTTCTTAAAGTTGGTGATGAATTTAATATTTCTTGATTAATATTTATTTAGGCGTAACCTTTAAAAAGTATATCTACTTGATTAATGTAGACTAAGAATCTCTTAAAGTTGGTGATTAAATAAACAGAAATATTCGAACTAGATGCAGTTAATTCCTACATGCAAGCCTCCAGCATATTTTGCAACAATCACAAATTTCTCGTATGTGTGGAGAATGCCGAAGTACCCAAATTCCATCAGCATCATACGTTCACGGACCAAAATCTGTAGCAATAACTTCCAAACCCGACTAAATATTTACCATTCACGGTGATCACAAATGCCATAACATGCATTATTGGAATTTAAAAACCCATTTTGAATTCCCGATGTGGGGTTGGATTGAAGTTTTAATTGAAATGATTTGAATCATTATTCTCGTAAAATTTTATTGTTTTTCTTTTCGAGTATTCTCTTCTATTAGATCTTGGATCCATTAATTAAAAGGTACCCCGGTGTCGCCCTTCATTTAATTTAACAGGTACCTTTAAAGTAATTACCCCGTTGGAAGGACACGGTTCTTAAAAAAGCAAACAACTTTATGCAAATTCCCCTTGGCTCCTTGTGCCAATTTCGTCTATTCGGTGCGCTAGACGTTTAATCCCGGCAATCATTTTTAAGTGGGTTTATCCCGCAAGACTCGTCCTG